GGGCGGCCAGTGATTGCTGTAAGTCAGGGCTGTCGACCATGCCGCTTACGCCCAGGGATGCGCATGGATCTCGCGGCACTGCATCTCCGGGTGCGGGGGGTATCGCCCCCCCTGGCGCGCAATCGTCAACGGATGCATTGTTGCAGTCGATCCTGCGGAAACTCGAAGAATCTGACAAAAAATTCACGGCTAGGTTTGACGAGTCCGATAGGAGGATCACTGCTTTCATCGAGCTTCAGGAGTCCGTGAATGCTGACTTTGCGCGTAAACTTGATCAATTACCCGTTCTTGTAAAATCTGTATCTGATCAAGGAGAGAGAATTGCGGCGTTGGAGGCTGGGGGCGTGCATTTGTGTGGCTCTCAGCGGTCAGGCCACGGTTCGTCTGCGGCATCGCGTGTCTCTCGAACGTCTGACATCATAATCTCGGGCATTCCAGGCTACTTCACGGAAAAGTCGAGTGAGCTTGTTAAAAGCGTTTTTCTTGCCCTTGATATTGCTCGACTTTCTGCGGACGTTCTTGAGACCCGTGATGTCGTGGCGGGCGCGTCTGCGGCGCTTGGCGACGGGCCGGCCTCCACTTCTATCCCCGATTCTCATGGCCGCGGCGCAAAAAAATCAATCATTGTTGTACTCAAGTCGCGTGAGGTTCGCGACTATATTCTGCGGGTCATGCGTCGGAGGAGTGGTTTATCCATTGAGGAAGTTTTCTTTAAAAACATTCCTGGTAAAATATTTATTAATGAACTCCTTCCTACTGACATGTATAAATTGTTGCGCCGGGCCAGAGTCAAGGCTAAGCAATCTGCTTTTAAGTATGTGTGGAGCAGGGACGGCCAAATTTTTGTTCGTAGGGACCAGGGTCAGCCTCCTATACTTATAACTTCTGAGTCCGATCTGGCAGAACTTCACTGACCGGAGGTGGTGGATGCGGGCCCTGGTCCTGCTGTGGCTTCGCGCGGTCGCCTTAGAATTGCTCATTTTAACGCCAGCTCCCTTCCTGCCCATCTCGAGTTTATCCAGGTCTTTTTAGCGTCTAACTTCTTTCACATCATTTCTATCTCTGAGACCTGGCTTCACTCGCATATTTCGGATGATTTAGTGAGAATCAACGGTTATTATTTGTTACGCGCGGATAGGGAGGGCAGGCAGGGGGGTGGCGTGGCGTGTTATATACATGAATCGCTGAGGGCGCGTGTTCTTGCGTCATCGCCTTCCGCCTTCTCGAATGCACCGGAGTACCTTGTTCTTGATATTCGGGATGACACACGCGAGCCTCTCTTGCTTACCACCATGTATCGTAGACCGAGGGGTAGGAATTTTAACGATTATGTCGACGTGCTAACTCGAGTTTCTCATAGTTATAAAAACATCATTGTTACCGGTGACTTGAACTGTAATCTCCTTACCTCAACATATGAATCAAATCACCTACGTGACATGGTTTCTCAATTGTCTCTTAACATAGTCGAATCGCAGCCGACCTTTCACACTGGTTTCTCTGACTCATGGCTTGACGTCTTTATTGTCGATAGCTTAGACAAGGTATTGTCATTCAGTAAGTCCGATGCTTCCTTCATCAATGGCCATGACCTCATTGAATTAACTTATTCATTCGAGGTTCCGTCGTTCTCAGATAGAACCTTGGTTCGGCGTAGCTATAGGAACTTTCAAGGAGAAGAATTTATCGGAACACTCATCTCCAAATTGTCATCATCGTTTGCGCATGATATAAGCCAAATGAGTGTTGGCGAGGCGGACGTTGACGATTTTTTAAACACTATCACCAATGACTTCACTGCTAGCTTAGATTTGCATGCTCCGATCCGCACTTTTCGTGTGACCCGTCCTTTGGCGCCTTGGCTCACGGGCGCCCTTAGGAGTGGAATTAGACATCGGAACCGGCTTTATAATAACGCGCGCAGATCCGGCAATTTGCTGGATTTTCAAATTTATAGACTCTTCAGAAACAATCTTACGCTCGAATTGAGGAGGGCCAGAGAGCAGTTCCATTTGGACAGGTTGCGCACAATTTCTGATCCGCCCAGGATGTGGCGCGAGCTGTCCAATCTCGGTCTAATTGAATCACCCCTTTCCTCACCATTAGACTTTTTCACACGAGATGAACTAAACACTTACTACGCTTCTATCTCTAATCGCTATCCTTCCTGCACTCAATCACAGTTTTCCAACATCATTGCATCTATAGTGCCTGATGAACCATTATTTAGTTTTTCTCATATAACATTCGATAGTCTAAGTTCGGCGATGGGTTCATCATCTTCCTCTCGCGCCTCTGGCTGCGATCAATTGCCGCAATCTGTCATTGCCTTGGCCCTGCCTCACATAGGAAATCTGTTAGTATCATTCTTTAATCACTGTCTCAGTTTGAGTCATTTTCCATCGTCCTGGAAGCGAGCTATTGTGCGCCCACTTTCCAAAATCAAGTCACCAGGCTCTCCTTCAGATACAAGGCCTATAACGAACCTGTGTGAGATTTCCAAAGTTTTCGAGAGGATTATGCACCGTCAGATCGTCAATTTCATTACTTCTAATAATATTCTTGACGATCGTCAATCAGGTTATCGCAAGGGTTATTCTACCCAAACTGCTCTTCTTCGAATAGCTCATGACATTAGGAGCGCGGTCGATGTGGGCGAGGTTCTCATTCTTGTCCTCTTTGATTTTAGTAAAGCCTTCGACACAGTCTTTCATTTTTTATTGCTAACAAAGCTAAGGAAATTGGGATTTTCTGATTCTGCCCTTAAATTGATCTTCTCGTATCTCACTGGTCGATCTCAGGCGGTCGTGGACTTGGAGGGCGTTTTCTCGGATTGGTTGTTCGTTACCGCAGGTGTCCCGCAGGGATCAGTTCTTGGACCGCTCCTATTTTCCTTATTTATTAATGATATCGGTGCTTTTCTTCGATTTACGGAGCGCATAATTTTTGCCGATGACACGCAAATCTATCGCAAGTGCTTCTTGAGTGAACTGAACGTCGGTCTGCGGCTGGTGGCGCATGACGTGGGGGTTATCGCAGAATTCGCGGCTGTGAATGGGTTGTCGCTTAATCTCCATAAATCTAAGGTCTTAATACTGGGAGGCAGGCGGTATGTCAAGCAGATTGATCTTAACAATCTGCCTCTTATCGCGGTAAACGGCACCACCATCCCGTTCGTTACTGAGGCTCGAAATCTGGGTGTTATAATGACCTCAGATTTGTCCTGGAAGAGCCACGTCAACCATGTATCCAAGAGAGTGCATTTCACGTTACACAAACTTAAGTTCCACAAAAACTCTCTATCATATCAACTGCGTGTCAAACTTGTGACTACGCTGATTTGGCCTTTAATAGATTATTGTTCCCTGGTCTATAATGATCTTACCGATGAACTCAACTTGAAATTACAAAGACTCATAAATTGTGCTATACGGTTTATCTTTAATTTAAGGAGGGACGAACGTATCACGCCTTATCGGCATCGTCTAAAGTGGTTGTCAGTGAAAAATCGACGTCGTTATTTTCTGGGAGCAGAGATGTATAAGATATCTAAAGGCATGTCTCCCAGTTATCTCTCCGAGATCTTTATCAGATCTGATCCCTTAATTAGACGTTCGTCACGGTTGGAACTTCCACAAACTTTTGTCATACCTAACCACAGAACGGAGTCGTATCGAAGGTCCTTCCACCTGGCCGGTATTTACTTGTGGAACTCCCTTCCCGCTGAGATTGTGTCGTCCTCTTCAGTCACCGAATTCAAGAATAAGCTTTATAATTACCTTTTTTCACTCGAGTTAAACAGCGATCAGGGCTCAACTGCAGAGCCACCTTCAGTCCGGGTCTAGTTTAAGTTTAAGTTTAAGTTTAGTTAAGTTGTTCATTTATGATTGAACTATGATTCACGGGCAGGTCGTCGCATAGGTGAGAGAGTAAATGTAATTAGTTATGCTCAATACCGGGTCTCTCTCTTGTTCGACTTCTTGTTCGTTTATGTTCCTCTTGTATGTATATTCTTTCTTTTATTGTTCATTTTTATTTGTATTTTTCTTTTATTTTAATTCTATTCTTATTTATTTTTGCTATGTATTATTCTGCGGTCTTTATATATTATTGTAGGCAAGATTTGCCTAAAGTCTCGACTAGGGCATAAATATAAATCAAATCAAATCAAAATCTCTCTCTCTCTCTCTCTCTCTCTCTCTCTCTCTTTCTCTCTCTCTCTCTCTCTCTCCCTCCCTCCCCCTCTCCCTCTCCCTCTCCGAGATTCGATCAATTATTTCGCGTAAGAATTAAAAAAATTAGAAAAACCGGTTTCCAGAAGATCGGTAACGAAAAACTATATACTCTATAGCACTCCCCTGAAAATTCTACCCTTATTTTACATGGTTCTAATTTCTAATACAAATTCGGTCTAATAATTTTTAAGTTAAAAACGTTTAAACATACACCACTTGTAAGAATTAAAAAAATTAAAAAAATGGGTTTCCAGAAAATAGATAACAAAAAACTATACACTCTACAGCACTCTCCGGAAAATTCTACCTCTATTTTATATGGTTCTAATATAAATTCGGTCCAATAGTTATTAAGTTAATAACGTTTTATTTTTATTTTTCTAATTCTTACGGGTGGTGTATGTTTAAACGTTTTTAACTTAAGAACTATTGAACCGAATTTGTATTAAAACCATATAAAATAGGGGTAGAATTTTTCGGGGAGTGCTATAGAGTGTATAGTTTTTCGTTATCTATTTTCTGAAAACCGATTTTTTAAATTCTTTTACCCGTAAGAATTAGAAAAATTAAAAAAATCGATTTCCAGAAAATTGGTAATGAAAAACTACACACTCTATAGCACTCCCCGGAAAATTCTAGCCCTATTTCATGTACTTGTGGTAAAAATTCGGTCCAATAGTTTTCAAGTTATTAACGTTCAAACATACACCACCCGTAAGAATTTTATATAATAGTATAGATTAAAAGGAATGTTTAGAGCACTGATTACACTTACATTTTCTGGTTAGCGCTTATTTTATGACATGTTGTATTTTCCAAATTTTACTTCCAAAACACAGAAAATACCTTCCAGCCTGTGATGACACCACGTATACGCCAACGAACCTGCACGGTATCGTTTTCAGAATGCATTGTGATCTTTAGGATGTCAAGCTTGACGTGTGCAAACTTCATATGACCAATGAACCTTAATAGTATCAATTGCTTCGCATAACTCACAAGTCCCCTGCAATATTTTTTAAGCATATTATGAGAAAATGGAAATAATGCTAAAAACTCTCAATTGCTTTGAATACTTAATAAAATTAATTTTCGTTACTCCTCTAATATTGTTGATAAAAATTATATCATAATGGATAATAGGGACTCAATTCACAAATATTTTAGCATAAAAAACTTGCCTACAATACAAATTGCGCTACAGAACACTTTCTCGTTCTTTTCAACTTTTACAATTTACAAGACAGCATATAAGTACATACATGTGCAATTTTGGATACACCTTCCTTCTTAAAGATCTCTTCGGTATCAGCTTCCTGCGGTCAATATATAGCGGCAAAATTGTATACCACGTAGTTGAATATAAAATGTTCCTGCGTGAGAAAACGAGAGAAAAAGAGGACATTTATAATAGGTAATGACACACAATACAAACCACGCAATAGTGTAAATTCGGGATTGGGGGAAGAAAGAAGGGGTAAAGGAGAAGAGATTCTTACAATTAGAGGCACTCTGTAGCAATTCGTATCATCTAGCACAAGAGGACCTTTTGTGCTAGACAATTATGCCTCAACAGTGTCTGACAATGAGAATTATTATATTTTGAAGACGCGAGATTGTACATTCAAAGCATTTAAGTTAACGAAAGTAAAGTACAATTTAAACATACTTCGGAGAAATCTTTATTACGCGATAGTGCCTGTCACAACGTGCACATAGATACAGATCACTTTCTCGTTCTCCTAACTTTTACAACTTTTACAAGACAGCATATATGTATACGTACGTGTGCGATTTTGGATACACCTTCCTTCTTAAAGAAAATCGGCATCAGCTCCCTGCCGTCAATATATATTTCACTATATCACTATATCTATCACGCGGCGATGGTCACGACTGTCACTATCTATTTATTTCTAGGTTATCGCTGTATTCCAGCATAAATCAGTCTTTTTTAACAGCTTCATGCGTCTGTGATTGAGAAAGAAATCTGATAGTACCAGCTCAATATAATGCAACATATACATATACAAATATGTATATACATTTTAGATAAAAACAGTCAGTAAACTTTTATAAAATAATACTCTTTGAAATAATACAAGCAATAATATAATTTTTATAATTACCTCTCTATATTATGTCTTAAATGTGCATGAATTTTCTTCTAACGATATTTGTAATGTCATCAACTTTTCACGCTTGTTGAATATATTTGCACCATGAGCACCAATAGCTAATCCCATCATATCTTCTCGAATATTTTAAATTTATTGGTATATCTAAAATAAGACAAATTTTACATAATGCAAATGCAAAAACAGTAATTATTACTTACGTCTGCTTATATATAATATACGATATATATATAAAATATACGATTACAAAGATCTGTATCA